AAGATACCCGACCAGGGCCTCATTGGCCGAGAGCGGTCACGTGACGCACGAGGAGAATCGGTCGACGCCCTTGTCAGAAGTGGAAGTGTAAGGAGCCGATACGAAGAAGCGGGGAAGCGGGTATACGCCCTCAGAGGCACTGTAAGGAAGTGGGAGTGAGAGTGAGTTACCGAAAATGGAAAATCCCTAACCAGAAATAAGAAGGGTGGATACGTATTTAGAATTATCGAAAAACCCCTGTCGCCGACAGATCCACCCCAGTTTTGACTGCGTCAATAAAAGCGGGACCCCAACCGACAGAAATCAGTTTGAGTTAGAGTTTGAGCAACGGACGGCGAAAGAGTTTTGAGCCGTGGACGACAAGCAGAGATGAGCGCCCAGTGTTGAAACCGCGTCAAGATAGCTGACCAAGATTCACGCACACTTCTGGACTCTTCTTCAACCAAGAACAAGTAGTTTGAAGAGCGACTTAGAATCAGACCACAGAAATAAGTTTTTTTTCGACTTTCGTCCAAAGACACACCGAAACACAAATTTTTAGAGAGCAGACAACTTGAAGCCTTAAAGTTGCCTAGTAAAAGCGTCGTGCCACAATCCACAGAACGGGTCGGGAAGTAGACATAGTCCTATGTACCGAACAAATAGACATAAAAAGTTTGTTACCTTTTTCTTTGATACGTTGGACCTTGTGAGTTTTTATTTTATTTTTTTTATACATAATTGTGTGTTATCACCCCCGTTAGACTCAACTTGCATTACGGCCCCAACCCCTGTTTGATCTCATCTGTCTAAGATCAATTCACAACGTGGGTAGGCAGACTGGAGATCAGTGCAGTTACCCTGGTAACCAGGCGTTGGAAGCGGGTTGGGAACGACGAGGCTGGTATCAATCTAACCAAAAGGTTAGAACGTCGCGAGGAGCGAACAGCTGACACCGCGGCAAAGACGTCACAGTTGGTGCTGTCCGTGACCAGGATATCAGAGCCTGGGGAGCACGGGACGTCACAATTGGCGCCGCGACCGGGATCGAACGACACAGTCGACGCTGCGACCGGGGGACGACGTCACAGTATATTTTATAATGAAATGACCAATTCATTTTTATAGTAATATGATCAACAGTATATTTTATAGCAAAATAACAATCAGTACATTTTATATTAAAATTGATGACTTGACAACCAATTAAAACAATAAAATAATGAATTTGATATGATTAATCTCACTACTTGTAAAAGAAAATACGTTTTCCTGTCTCCTTTGATTTTGTAAGATTATTTAGTACCAAAAATGAAGCTAAGTAATTATAATTTAATCATGAAAAAATGCTATTCTTTTGAATTAATTATAACGTTTGAATGTTCATGTTTAGATTTCCCCATTAAATAGCCCATACGTGTTCATATGCTACTAAACAAAAACAAGCATCAAAATAAATTATACAGCCTTAGTTCACCTGATGCCTGGGAATCGTTTTTTGATTCTTCTGATCCCAGAAAAAATATTAGTGCCGTCAAACGAAAAATACAAACGCTCTGGTAATGCGGACGCCAGAGTGACAAATTCTGCGCAGAAAAATATGCTGTGCACGTTTTCATTTTTTTTATATATATATATATATATACGGACCGTTGGTTTTAAACATCAGACGGTTGATGAAGAGTGCAAGTGAATTCCAAATGAAGCCTCGGATGTATCACGTCCACTCTCTGTGCATTCACTTCCCTCTGCTGCCTACTGTCGAATCATGTTACCCAAAATGCCTCAGTCGCCAAACATGCAGCAGATTAACGCCCCCCCGGCTCTTTCCAAACGACCCATTCTCTGCTGACTGACACACTGACCCCGACCTCGAGTAAGCTGTCCAAATAGGTTTTTCTTTTCTTATGTCACTTCTTATGCCATTTCTCGTCCATCAAAGATGCCGCTAGCCCTAAAGCAAGATGCATTCTGGTTGTCTTGAACTAAACGTCCAATCGTAACCTTCGCTCAATCCATAACAGATACACAGATATCTATGTGATGAAGCGTGTGATTTTTGAGTGTCAAGCGGGGTGAAATATATTTGTATTCGTTTCTAGCCCTGTGCATATCACTTTCCTATCTCTATTTCCACGCTGTAGTACATGAAAGAAGGAAACATTGCTTATGGTATTTGAAGCATGTAGATTAAACGAAAATAGCATTATATATATATATATATATATATATATATATATATATATATATATATATATATATATATATGTATGTATATATATATATATGTGTGTGTGTGTGTGAGTGTAAAAATTATTTTAGATTTGTGTATATTATTTTTTTATATTAAGCATAAAGCGGAATATATTTTTCAAAAAAATACATAATTTATTAGGTTGGTGCAAAAATAATGTCGTTTTCTCACATATCTTAATTTTATATATGATTTCTGAATTAATTCGTTGATATGTATAGCCATGTTATATATCATTTTGAAGCGCGTTTTTCGCCATATCGAATCATGTTATTCGTTACCGTTCTCAATCTCTTCATTCATTTTTTTTGCAGGCTTTTCGACAGCATGGACAAAATTCAAATCCGCACGATTTTCTTGTTCCAGTTCAAACTAGGCCGAAAAGCTGCCGAGACAGCTCGTGATATCAATGATGCGTTTTCCCCAGGAACCACTAACGAACGTGTGGCACAACGGTGATTCAAGAAATTTTGCAATGGTGACAAGAGCCTCGAAGATGAAGACGGTCGCGGCCGGCCGACTGCGGTAGATAACGAACATTTTAAAGCTCTAATTGAAGCCGATCCTCGCAAAACCACACGAGAAGTTGCTGTTGAACTAGAGGTCGACCACTCAACAGTCGTTCGCCATTTAAAGCAAATAGGGAAGTCAAAAATGTTGGATAAATGGGTGCCGCATGAATTGAACGATAATCAAAAAAATCGTCGTTTTGAAGTGTCTTCTACGCTCCTTCTGCGCAACAAAAACGACCCATTTCTCGAGCGGATTGTGACGTGTGGTGAGAAGTGGATCCTCTACGACAACCGGTGACATTCGGCACAGTGGTTGGATGCCGGAGAAGCTCCACAACACTTCCCGAAGCCGAAATTGCACCAAAAAATGTTATGGTGACTGTTTGGTGGTCTGCGGCTGGTCTCATCCATCACAGCTTCTTGAATCCGGGCGAAACGATTACGGCGGAGAAGTACTGCCGACAAATTGACGAAATGCACCAGAAGCTCCAACGTATGTGCCCGAGATTGATCAATATGAAGGGACCAATTCTTCTCCATGACAACGCTCGCCCGCATGTTGTTCATCTGACCCTGCAGAAGCTGAACGAATTGGGCTACGAGACTCTGCCTCATCCGCCATATTCACCGGACCTCTCGCCCACCGATTATCACTTTTTCAAGCATCTCGACAACTTCCTGCGCGAAAAATGCTTCAAAAGCCGAGATGATGCCGAATCAGCCTTCAATGACTTCATCGCTTCCAGAACTCCGGATTTCTATGCTAATGGGATAAATAAACTTGTTTATCGTTGGCAAAAATGTGTCTATTCTAAGGGTTCTTATTTCGATTAATAAAGTTTATTATGAAAGGAGTTATGATTTTTTGAAGTTGAACGTCAAAAACGACATTATTTTTGCACCAACCTAATACATTATAAATTGATCTTGATCAACGTATTTAAGCATATATTTATTTTTATGCCAACATATTACCATCATTTCATTTCTCTTGTTTATAAGTTTCTGTTCTATAAAGGTTTTAGAATAACTAATTCTTCAACAACATGACGTAAGTTATATCTATTGGCTTTCCCATTGTAAAATTTGGCTCTTGCTCCAATATCCCAGGTGATAATAGGTGCATCAGCTCAATTCTTTAATTACCAGAAATATATAGAGAACGCAGTGCTGTTTTTGTATTTTACATTGTCTAAAGTCATTCGATGATGGTCCAAACGAAATTTCCAAGGATTTTCTGTAGAACCAAAATAAAATTTTACATCGTTACCGGAACGTATGCTAGTTCGGTATACAACATTATCAATCATACTTGGAGCGTTTGAAGGACAGATCGTACTTTTTCGGCAATTGCATTTATTTTTAAACAAATTAACATTGTTTTTGTTTGAAATATATTCACGTAATATGATGTTGTTATGTTGGGATATAGATTTATCTACGTTATCAGCGCAGCTGTAAGCCGATCTTAACATTATTTTTGTTAAAAATCGTTTTTAGTGTTTGTGAATTGTTAAAGAGTCTTATGAATTAAATTTAGCAAAATTCTTCCAGTATTGGGTTGAACATTACGATTAAAACGTGCATTAAATAATATAATGTTACGTTTACGGTGTTTCTGTTTGTTCTTACCATTTTTATAAGTTTAGATAGCGGGACAGTTTGTACTGTATCAGAACTGTTATCACTATATGACAATTGAATGACGTGATTGATTAAGACAAATATTAAAGAAAAATTGTGATTGGTTGAAGTACAAACAATATCAAAATAACTGAAGATAGTTTTAAAATACCCTTTATTACCGTGTTATTTGTATATGCGTTGAATACTTTTGCACACTGTCAAATCCGAAAACTGGAAATAAAAGTACATAAAAACAGTGTTTATCAAATGTCTTTTATCTTGAGATAGACAATGTTCATTTCAAATATTTGAAGTATCATTCAAATTACACATTTTTATTGTGATATTTATGAAAAAACGATGTTAAATACTTCTGCTGCTACCCACTATATATATATATATATATATATATATATAATATATATATATGTATATATATATATATATATATATATATATATATATTACATAAAATATATGCTTGTAATATATATATATATTAATTATATATATATATATATTGCATATATATATATATATAATATATATATATATATATTAATTATATAATATATATATTTGCATATATATATGCTTATTATATATATATATATATATATGTGTGTGTGTGTGTGTGTGTGTGTGACAGTTACTTCCAACGTTACATCGGACACTTCATTTTTAATTATTAAAATCTGATTGTTAAGTTTATAGGCCATTTAATAAATGATTTCTCGAATACGCAAAGCGTTAGACTTAACAGACACTGTTTATTAATAAAAAATAAGGTGTCTATTTCAAATACAAAATGTCCACATTTGAATTAACAGAATATCGTATTAACAAATAAATACCCAAATTCCTTATACATACATACATGCATACACACACACACACACACACACACACACACAATAGTGCATTTTGTAGATTATGTTTTGAACCGTTGTATCTTAGAAATGATTAAAGATATCTTACTGGAATTCTCGGTGGTTTTTATAACACTATTGGACTCTACTTTGAGTAACAAGAATGTATTTAGCTCTAAGTTGAAATGATGATCCCTCTTCCTATTGTAACCTCCTGATCTAGTTTTCCTCTCTATTGTTCCCTCTTCTTAAAAATTATTCACCCCTTTTTTTTTTTGATGGTTCATAAATGCATTTTGAAGATGGAAGTCTGAGTATGAATGTTGATACCAGTACCGAAGGGTTGAACGATATTTTTCCTATCATCATTGCTCACTCGGTAAGACTTAATGGGGCGGACACAAAACGAATTTATACTCTTCTCTTTCTAGCTGAATAACTCAAAAGGTTTGCCAGGGATACTTTCGACAAATATGTATGTGTGTGTGTGTGTGTGTGTGTGTGCATATGTATCGTTTGACAGCCAAAATTTCCAAATCGTGTAACAGCAACAAAAATGTCGTTGTATCTTAGAAATGACTAAATATATCTTACTGGAATTCCTTCAAGATTATTTATAACACTATTAGACTCTACTCTAAGAAATAAGAATGTATAATTACTCTCTAAGCCTAACAGGAGAATGGTGCCAAAATCGATCATAAACAATAATAACATATTCATCCTTAATTAATCATATCTAAAGATCGGAAGGCCCATGAAGGATTGAAATAAAATTCAAAATATATATATATATATATATATATATATATATATATATATATATATATATATTATTGCATAATCATTTCCAACTGGTTCAAGATGATCTTCACCCTCTGTAACCTTCTAAATCTATGCTTAGTGTAACATGTTGTCACACAGATTTCATTTTTCGAACATTTTTTCACTTCACTTTGGAATGTCATAGCTGAACCCCCTCTCTCTCTCGTACCAAACGTGATATTGATTGAGTTCGATCTTTTCTAATTGATCTCTCTAACTCTAATTCGAAATGAAGATCTCTCTCTCTCCTCTCTCTCTCTCTCTCTCTCTCTCTCTCTCTCTCTCTCTCTCTGTGTGTGTCTATACCGCATGAAACAGAAAATTTGTCCAATTGTTAGATTAAGATTTGCATGATTGTATCTTAGAAATAATGAAAGATATCTTAATGTAATTCTTCGAGGTGTTTATAACACTACTGGACTCTACTTTGAAAAGAATATATTTTGCTCTCAGAAATGATGATCGCTGTTTTGACCTCCTAATCCAGTTTCCTCTCGATTGTTCCTACTTTTTTAAAACTTACTTACCGTTCCTTTGATAGTTCTTGAATGAACTTTGAAAATGGAAGCTAGAGTATAAATGTTGGTTCCATTACTGAAGGCCGGAACAGTTTTTTTACTCTCACCATTATTCACTTGGGAAGTCAGTGGGTCTGACGCAAAACCTGTTCTCCTTTTATTTGAATAAGTCCGTAAATCTCACAAGAAATGGAATCAAGATGGTTGAACGTATTATCTAAAAACTTGGAAAAAAGAAACTCAATTAGTTTAGTGATTTTTAGATATTGAACATTTTGTGTCATGGAAAATTATAGTGTTAAATGATTCGGATAATTTCTCTGTTAAACTCAGTACATATATATACATATGTATATATATATATATATATATATATATATATATATATATATATATATATATATATATAGGGTGTTGCAGCAAAATCCGACACTTGACAAAAAGAAAGCGAAATAATCAATAAAAACGACAGTTTGACACCTAACTAACGTTTTTCTCTCTACCCTTTTCCAGGATGGAATATCAGCGCAGTGCGTCGGGAAGAAGCCTGCGGAAGTGATGGCCTGGTTTGGATTCAAGAGGACCATGGTCATGGACATTTGAAGTAAGTGAAAGGCGTGAGAGAACAAGGACGAGTTTACTGCCAAACGAAAAGTCCACAATGTTTGTTGGCCGTTAGGACCTTCGAGTTCGTCGCGGCCATCTAGGAGACAGTCGACACTGATAGCAGCGAGAGTACGCCAAGATCGCCGCTGAAATGGGCTGTCACAAGTCGACGATCTGCCGGACGATCATTAATTACTCCTTCTACCGCAAGTCTCACCGCATGCTCATCGCGAATGCCTCCAAGGAGTCGTGGAAAGTCAAGGAGGCGGCTTTGCTGATCAGGCTCAAGCACGGGTCCGTCGGAATGCAGATGTTTTTATCTGATAAAAAGTATTTCATCCAGGACCAAACGAACAACAGTCAGAACGATAGGTGGATCTGTAAAGACATCAGGGACGTTCCCGTCCTGATGCATACGAATTTTCCCTCTCCCGTTATGGTCCTTGGAGTCATCTCCAGCGAGAGAGACGTCATGCCTCCGTTCTTCTTTCAAAAGGGCCTGAGAGTCACCGCTGAGATCTACCAGGAGATGCTGAGGAGTGTGGTGAAGCCCTGGATAGACGAGATCGCCGTCGGACACCCCTAGGTCTTCCAGCTGGACTTGGTTCTTGCACACAATGCCGAGATGACCCAAGCGTGGCTGCTCAACAATGTTCCTCACCACTAGTCGCCGGGCATGTGGCCGCTCTCCTCACCCGACATGCAACCCTCTTGATTATTTCTTCTAGGGCGTGATCGAGACCAAGACCACCAAGCACGTCCACAACACGGTCGACTCTCTGAAGGCCTCCATCGTGGAGGCGTTCGGCGCTTTGGACAAGGACATGGTCGTCAAAGCGTGTGACTCATTTCGCGCCCGCCTTGAGATAGTCATTGCCGCCGGCAGGTAGTTACATTTAAAAATAATGTAGTATGTAACTCTAACTGTTGCTAAATAAACTGTCGGGTCTCTGTATATAAAACTTTTTGTTTTTATTGCCTATTTTGTTTTCTTTTTGTCAAGTGTCGGATTTTGCTGCAACACCCTGTTTTTATATATATATATATATATATATATATATATATATATATATATAATTATTTATTTAAAAATTATAACATGAATATGTTATAAAATCACTACAAAAATAGCGATTTTGTTTCAACACCTCTGGTGACTTATCAAATGATGATGTTGAATGTAAATTGTAGGACCTATATTCAACATCATCAATTGATAAGACAACAGAGGTATTGAAACAAAATGGCTATTTTTGTAGTGATTTTATAACATATTATGGTATAATTTTTAAATAAATAATTATATTCGCTCTACTCTGTATTGAGCACTCTCTTAAGAATAGTAATTGTTGGTTATTGGAATTTATTCCGTATACACCAATCATATATCTGTATATATATATATATATATATATATATATATATATAGAGAGAGAGAGAGAGAGAGAGAAAGAAAGATAGATTCAATGTGGACATAAGTATCAGTACTTCATAGTGATTGTCAGTTTCATTTATCAAGACAATTCTGACTGATAACCTTTACCTGAAGAAAACATAAACGATTACTATCCATATCTAATATATTTCACTTTGAGCGGTTGATGATAGCAGTAATTTATGGCTGTTCCCCCGCAATTTTCGACAACAACCCTCTAGTATTGTATGCATCTGCATTCGAATATGGACAGTGTTTTGTTTTAAAATCCCATACGTCTAACTACGCTATCCCTTCAAAGGGGGTGGCTCCTTTCTGGCGTATTTTAAATTATCCTTCATTTCTCACGACTCTTGCCAATGTCACGTGTTTAACGCTGAACGTCTAAGGCAAAAAAGAAAAATCAGAAGATCTGAAGGCGGACCGTTTGGATTATGTGACATTTTGACAAGATGAAAAATAAAGACAGAAAAAAAAAAAACACGAATGACACGTGAGGGTTAGAGTGTGTGCGTGTGCGTGCTTTTTTTTTATCACTTCTCTGTGGAGAATCTGAGCGAAAGAAATTATGTCAAAGAGAATAGCAAAACATGGCACTGGGAAGGAAATTGTCTCTGAATAACTATAAGGCAAATATGGCAAATACTTCGTCCAATATAGTTCCACATATTTCAAAATTCAAAAAAGTCAGACTTATGTTTCCTTCGTGATTTTGACTTATATTTGTCATACATAATAGTTAACCACTCGTATTCGAGGATACCAGTGTACAAATGCGGTTAGCCCATCCCTATTGCCGACGCTCGCTCAGGCACATTTTGTGTTTGTTCAACGCCCACAAAGCCCACCTGTGGTTTATACTGTAACTATGCTGAGCAGACCTTAGTTACAGTTTCTGGGAGAGAGCGTGTTATCTAGCGGGATCAACAATTTGAACAAGGTCAGCAGGTTCAATCCCTCGGCCACGATGACTTGCAGCTTTGTGCTAGCACATCTATCGTCTGCCTTCAAGTTTTCTGTCATACACAATATATATATATATATATATATATATATATATATATATAAATAAAAGAAAAGAACAGTAATATATATAATCCAGTGTTCTTATAGATATTTTTATTTTACTAAATAGTGCTCAATGTAAATTTACAGAGCATTAATATTATAAATTAATTGAATTAAAATATGTTTTTTCGCTATAGTTCTAACCATGTTTCAAAAATAGCTAAAAAGCCCCGAATAATTTATAATTAAATTAAAGACATTAGTTCAAATAGTAAAACCATATAAATATATAATTCATGTTTCAATACAGATACATCCATTTCACTAATGTCTTTATTTAATGTATCATAGCTACGTTTTGGTAGTGGGTAGGATGATTTATTTTTTAAATGAAATTTAACATGTTTTAAAAAGCATGTCGTTTGTTTTTTTTTTTAATTTTTATTTTTAACGGCAAAAAATAATTAAAAGATTTTTTGCATGTTTTAGGTTAGATTAATTTTTATTTAACTACGATTTTAAATATTTTAATTTTTAATTTTAATTTTAATATACTATATTTCTTTTAAGAACAATTAAATATAATTAGAATCATTTAAGTATATACGGTATAGAATTATTATCACATCAAGTATAAATATATAAATTTTTAGTTTACAATTTTTTTTTTAAATATTATTTAAGTAAATTTCCAACAATGCTTAATTTCACCGATTTAGTAAAATTTTTTTTTTTGCAAAAATCTTTAATTATACAAATAGAAAAAAATGTCATAAGTATTTTTGCCGTTAACAATAAAATTTTAATTACAAAATTAAATTCGGGGCTTTTAGCTTCCATTTTTGAAACATGGTTAGAACTGTGTAGCGAAAAAACATATTTTAAATCAATTAATTTATATTAGGTTGGTGCAAAAATAATGACGTAATAATGTCGTTTTTTGACGTTAAAATACGTCCAGAAACGACATTATTACATCATTATTTTTGCACCAACCTATATAATATATATATATATATATATATATATATATATATATATATATTATTTCAAATGATATTTTTAGTGGATAACCATATACGGAATGGACGACCCGTTTTTTGTTTTTTTTTTGTTTTTTTTTTTTTTTTTTTTTTTGTTGTTTTGGTTTTTTTCTAAACGGCGTGTATTACATCTCTCGGTCTATGAAGTTCAGAAAACTTCATAAAAAAATTGTGCTTGATCCCCCATTTGGGATAGACTTAATACACACTGATTAAAATAAAAACGGGGCGTCTATTAAAATACGGGTATCGAGTAAATAAACAGTTGAAATAATAAAGATGTCAGATTAAAATTAAGCAGCTCATAATAAACTATACCCAGCTGACCTCACTAAATGCAGAGCTAAAGTTTCGAGCCATGTATATTCGGCTTTGCCGCCAATGTTGATACATGGCTGGGCTTAGCCACGATCTTCTACGCTTAGGGTTATTGTATTGTATCTACTTTTCAACTGCTGTTGAAGTAGCTATCCACAAGTGACAAGATACCGTTTGTCGTCATTCGGCTTCAACTCGTACGGCTACCAATGTCCTTGCTTTTGATTCTTTCCTTATGCTTTCGAACGTTTCGAAACTGTTGCGTCATCAACTCCTAATGTTTTTGCGAGTTCATCTTCCACCTGACATGAGTCTTCATGAAGTAATGTCTCCAATTTTTCGTCTTCAAGCTTTTTCGGTGGGCCAAAGCGTTCTTTATCTTCACTATCAAAATCCTTATTTTTGAAGCGTCTAAACCAATCTTTACATGTTGCTTCAGAGAGGTTACGGTCGCTGTAAGTCTCAACAAGAATTCTGTGTGATATATTTTTAATAAAGTAGTGCAGTAAAATTCCCCGCAAATACACTTTCTTTGGCACGAAATCCTACATGTATAATAGGCATGAAAACTAAGTTATTTACACTTCGGCGAAATGACATACACTGAAATTCAAGCTTCCTTATAAATGCGTTGCCATCTGAAACTAAAATCAGTTCTGGAAAGGCCATTTGTTGGAAGACACCGACAACTTCAGGACCTAATATATATATATATATATATATATATATATATATATATATATATATATATATATATACAATAGATGCAGTGTTATTTTTCATGATTTTGACATACCTAAGTCATACGATGAGATATATCTGGTGAAAATACGTATATTAATTCATTATTAAGTTATGGACATATTAATGGAATCCGACAGAATGATACGATAAAAAAGCAATCAGGAAACGTTTATCAATCTAACGTTTTGTTAAAGCTTTATCAGAGAATAAGATATGGCGAAGAAGAAGAAATAATTTCTAGTATTTTTTACTGCTGCGTTGCTCGATTTTTATTGGTTAATCATGCTTCCCGTGAATTCTACTTGTTAAAAAGACGTTAATGTGATTCGTGACGTTCAGAATATTCGAATTTCGATAGAATTAACGGATTCCAAGCCCAACTGAAAATTTTTTATTGCTTTATGTATAATAATTCTTGCTTGTCGCTGTAAGATTCAGATAGTAATGTATATCTGTAAGTGTGTGTGTGTGTATGCATATATATATATATATATATATATATATATATATATATATATATATATTAAACAACCGGTAATACTCGGTTCGAAAAAACCTCGGATAGCACAACTTTAAGTCTATCAAAACAAATTGGTAACTGAGGGAAAAAATTGCTAACAAAGGAAAGAACTAGAAAGATCCGAACAGGGCGAAATAAATCGTCCAGTGCCTTGAGTTTTTAGTCCACAAAAAAAAAAAAAAAAAAAAAAAAAAAAAACAATAGAGTAATAAAGCTAAAACGTCGAGTGCTCAATACGCTAAGTAGAGCAGGAATAAATCCTAAACAGCCAGAAACAACTTATATAGGAAGGCTGTTCCTGGTTCTTTAGGATATATATATATATATATATATATATATATATATATATATATATATATATATATATATATATATATTGTAACCCGGATATAAGAGAGTTGTCGGGACCGGGTAGAAGTCTCTTATATCCGGTCTCTTATATCCAGGTTACACTATATATATATATATATATATATATATATATATATATATATATATATATATATATATATATATATACATATATATATATATATACATATATACACATACATATATATATATACACATACATATATATATATATATATATATATATATATATATATATATATATAATTACGCGGCTAGATATGAACGAGCACGTGTGCTATTTTACATTGCGCTAATGCATCGTCATTAATAATATATATAGTCTGACATTACGTTATTGAGCATTTTTTCCTGTGTACCATTTTAGTATACTCATTCGAAATTTACTTAATATTGTATGTTTATCTGAATAACAAAAAATCTGTTTTTTTTTTTTATATAACCCGTGTTGATTCAGGTCGTAAGCGATCATGAATCTCCACAAATTCTATCCTATGTACGTTTTTATTAAATTTTGTATTTTTGTTATTTCTCCTAAACCATGTTCTGCCATCCATTTTCTAAAGCTCACCAAGTATGCTATGCGTTGTTTTCCGCTGTCACTTCTGCCTTCAATCTGACCTGTGGGCATTAGACTTTCCAAGCTCTTCTTCCTCGTTATATGCCCTATATCACTCTCTCTTCCTGATGTTAAATATTTTTTTTTCTTTTTGTTTCCATTTTCTCTAAAACTTAGGTGTTGCTCACATGTTTGGTTCATGTTATCCTCAGCATCCTTCTTTCTGTTGCTTCCTGTCTCTTTATGTTTGGAGGGATTGTCCAGCCTTCACTGTCATATCGGAGGCCATATATTACGTAACAGTTCAATAACCTTTTTTTTTTTTGGTTTCTTTGTTTCTTAATACTGTGCTTAGCTTTTGTAACACATCTTTGGTTATCCCAATACTCCTTTGGATTGCAATGTCGCTCTTTCCGTCCTCAGTTAAAACATTTCCCTGATATTTGATTTTTTTTTACTTGTTTGATTTTGGCATCCCCAATTTGCTTCTTGGGTTCATCTTTTTGATAACGCCTATGTATTCTGTCTAATTGTAATTGATATTAAATCCTTTCTTGGTTTTCTTTTGTTGTAGATTCCGGGATGAAATCCGGTCTCAAATGAATGACAAACACAGGAATGAAATATAGCAAATAAATGTATTGACGTAATAATACAATTGGTAATACGGTTAGTAGATCCAGAAATACGGTTAGTAGCAATAATAATATATATGCAGTCTGGGAAATTCAGTATCGAAGTATGACTTCCTTCTGAGTCTACGTGCTTGTAACTGTGACTCCTACAAAGCGGTTACCTCACACTCTTACTCTCTCACTGTTCACTGTATCATTCTATCAGTGTATCTTCCTCTGTCGTCTAACTTCCGGGTATTCACCGGCAGCAGTACAAGTATACACCGGGCGAGTTCCCTTGTATGAAAAATGGGTGGACCCCTTAACATCTTTACTATTTTCTGGGGGACTTTATGTAGGTTTCTTTCCGTGTCTGCTATCAACACTGTGCCGCCTGCATATATGAGACTATTAAGATAGCTGCCATTCTTTTTTTCTATTAATTTGACAAATCTCTTTATTTAATTTAATTATTAATATTGAGTGGAATAGTTCATTGCTGTAATATAATGAGTAATGAGTTACATAACGGACCTGTGCGTGAGGATTTATAGTGAAAACATCGTTGCACAGGGAAAATGCCACTCTCTCGGCTTGGGAAGTCTTGATCCAGTGTCACGGGGAACCGTTACGACGGGAGACTGCCAGGCTACATCGGATGACCAGGACTTCTCTAGGTGTCACGACCATGCTCTAAAGCGACCACAAACACTGTCACTGCTTTCACAACCGTTGGATCATCAGGTGATCTCTTCCGCTCGTTCTGTCGAGAGACAGTCTTCGCATGCAGTAGGGCTGACACGTGCCAAGCCTAACTTGCAGACCCGTCGGCTATCCTCACCTGGTTTGGCCAGCTCGCCAAAGCCGTTCCCCGGAAGTGGCCGCTGTTGCATGCGACAGGATTCTAAGAGCCACAGATGGGAGCTGGATAACAGGTTAAGACCTGTGGCAGAAGAGCATTCCGTAAAACAGCATGGCGACCCCCTGCTATAGGTACTACTTCTCCCTGACACCCCATAGTAAATAATTAACCTACAATAAATAACTAACAAATAAAGTTCTTTATGTCACCGATATTCCTGTAACATAATTAAAGATTGAACGATCCATATATTGGTATATGATATATACTACTATGATTTTACAATTTATACCAAATCTTTTACGATACACTTAGACTATGCTAGCATTTCAAAAATGAAATATACACAAGGTGCCATATCATTGACGTTCGACAGAACCAATATAAACAAAACAAATGCAGAATGAAAAAATTGTTATCATCATAACACTAAAGGCAATATATACAACGTCACAAAACAAATAAAAATTTGAATTTAGAAGTGAAATGCAAAGTCGCACCATTACAAGCCATAACTTATGATGCAGCTAAATAAATACCGAGATACGCCAAATTTATAGATTTCTAACTTGTTACTTATTCAATCATTCTGCCAAATCTGAAGCATATTTTCGACACACAAACATTCATATATATATATATATATATATATATATATATATATATATATATATATATATATATATATATATATATAACTTCAAATTAAATAAATAAATATTGATACACTCGAGCATATATGCGTGCAGTCTGAGCTTATATAAATTTGCAAATAAATATTTTATTTAATTTTGGTGTTAGTAAAACAGTGCTCATTGTGGTAAATCATCCACTATATATATATATATATATATATATATATATATATATATATATATATGTGTGTGTGTTCGTGGGTATGTGTGTGTGTGTGTGTGTGAGAGAGAGAGAGAGAGAAAGAGAGAGCGCGTATGTGGAATATTAGTAGACTTTCATTAAGGCATTTATGATTGAAGAGAATTTATTGACCAAATATTTATGATATTCAACTTTCAGCTAGAATTCTATCGATTTTCGAAATCTAAGAAAATTACACTCCGGATATTATTCCTTTTACAATTTTGAAATTCGTTCTAACTAGCTGCTTATTCATAATGATATTAAGTCCCGCACAAATCGAAGTTCTTCATTTCGCTAAATAAGTCGTTAGATTTAAAATCTTAGTTCTCATATTGAAGCATGGTTTGCTTTTGTGTTTTGTTTCTTTCTTTATAAGTGTATCAAGAATCTATAATCGTTTTTTTTTTTGTTTTACAATTCTTAATGTATGGTAATGTTTATATTAAGCATTTCCTTATAAGTAAACTTTCTGAGCATCGTGTATGGCTGTGGGTTGAAATTTATAAAATCTCTTTCAACAATATTTCTTTAGAAAAATAGGTTTCTCAAGTCCTGTTGACATTAACGCTCTTTCCATTGTTGATGGGTTTGGTTTGGATTGGTTTGTTTTACGGCATGTCAACCTCAGTGGTTTATTTAATGCCAACAAAATTTTTATTGCTGTTAATATTTTGTTTTGTCAAAGATCTAATTCTAAAAATGTTTTCCTCAAAAATGTATAGATGGTAATATTATTTTAAAAAATGTATTGCTGGTAATTTTTTTTTTAAAACGTATTGCTGGTAATATTTTTTTTCCTTCAAAAGTTTATCTCTGGTAATAATTTTATATAAATTATTCCTAGTATTAAAACCTATTTTTACACTTTTATAATGCTTTTTACTTAAGTTTGGGGGTTAACTATTTGCCCATAGCTGGGACCCTAACAGGTGCTACATGGGAACACCAGCAATTAAGAGGTGGTTCCACGCTCCTCAAAATCTCCTTATCAGAGGCCTTGCTGTTGGACGTAGTTTATCGTCTTACCCTGGACGTGGATGTAGTTTATCGTCATACCCAGGAGATTAATGGGAGTTTCCTTTTATTTGTATTTGTTCAGGAGGCCATCATCTTGTTTCCTTATTTCTTGTTCGAGTTATATTTGCTATACATTTTAGTTGTTGCCGCTGCTGAAAGTAATCAAGCGATGTGGTTTTTGCTATAACGCACAATTTTGTTTGTGACTCTGTAGCTCCAGTTTACAATATTCAAAAAAGGATGATTACGCAAAGAATTATTTTTAATCATTGACATGAGAAAATGGCTGTCTACAGCGGAGAGTTTAGATATATCTGCACGCGATTTAGTTCCGAATAATATGGTTTTAGCCATATGAAAAACTCAATCTAACGAGGCTACTTTATATAAGAGAACATTTGAACACTTCGATCTGGTGTAATGGATAGCAAGCATGTCTCGCCAAATCATTTAATCCATAATTTCGGCTTGGGCTACATCTAAGCTTTGCTTATTAAATCACTCTAAGTGAACAATAACAGTCATAAGGAGATGGTATTCGTCTTTGTCCAATCGAATCTCGTGTAACATATATCCATTTTAGTTGCTGCTGTCGAAATTAATCTAATGATGTTGTTTCTGTTATTTAGTACAGTTCTTTGTAATTTTGCAGCCCTAGTCCACTAGGTTCGAATATAGATGGTCTTCACCTAAACCCACAGGCTTCCCTCGATCAAAGCCAATTTTTACCATATAAATAGTTATATGCAACTGACATTTTAGATATATTCGAATGAATTGGACGCCATGCATGGCATCCATATGAAAGTCTCGATCTGATGAGGCTATTTAAGAACGTGTTCTGACTTTTCATGTTAATGTTTTGTAGCAATTTGCGGTATTGGGCGAAACTATCTGTAGTGCAGCTTTATCTAAGTTCTATTTCCTTATCTCCTATACTAAATTTGTTATAACTAATGGATCTATCTAAGGTCAGTCCGCCATTGCCCAGTAGTTCAATGCAGACGTACCGAAGATGCTACACTTTTTTATATTAAGGATCTGCCTGAGAGTATACCTCAATCTTTTGTGAATGACAGTTTTAATATTTTTGAACAGTCTTGTTGCCATGTATGGAGTCCATTTGAAAGTCTCAATATGACGAGGAAATTGCTATTTCTTTTATTCTTATTTATTTTTAAGCATCGATTTGCAAAAGTAAATATAAACAAAAAATCAAACAAAAACATAAAAAATACCAACTGTTAAACGTAGTTGATAGTTTAGATATTTCAGAACAGAGTTAATGCCATACATGACATTCATATAAGCGCCAAAATCTGACGAGGCTATTTAAGAACATGAGTCTAGTTCTTAGGTTAATGTTTTGGTTTTGTAACAATTAGAGGTATTGTGGGAAACTATCTCTAACACAACCTATTCTATATTCAATTTATTTACCCCACTATAATAAATTTGTTATAACTGATCCATACACCGTGATATTTGAAGTGTTTAATATTTATTAATTCCACATTCTGAACTTTTATTATGGGTTTAGTTTATGTGCTATTAACGCTTTCATTCCAAATCTATGTCATAGATTTTGTTTTAGAAAAGTTTATCTTAAGTCCTATTTCTTGCAACACTTCGTAGAGAATGTTGATTTTCTGTTTAATATCACTCTTATCCCAACTATATTTTACGCCAATTATTTATGACTACTTGGCGTATAGCCTTGTATATGCTTCTATGGCACGAGTTTAAAAAAAGATCATCAGAGTAACACGTATATGTATACAATATATATGTCTCATCTATTTTATTATATAGCCGTGAATACGGAAAATGTCCTCATAGATTAAGATGTGACTTGAAAAGGCAGAAAGATAACAAGACCGTACATGGGAGAAACAAGGAAGCTCTAGGAAGAATGAGAACGGATAGGAAAACTTATAATTAAAATCAGGATAGACATCTGAGATTTCTGGGACATAGTAAAGAAGCAGGAAAACTTACGGAGTTTAACATTCACATGATTTATTGAATTCAAGAAGGATCGAGGGAAATAGCGATCTTAAATTCCTAACAAGCGAGTATCAAAGGAATGATAGATCATGGACCGGGATGGAATATTTGCTTCAAACTACAAAGGAAAAGAAGCTGTGGTTAGTTAATCATAATCGTCCATATGTTGAATGGACACGGTACATAAAAGAAGTGCTGGTTTAATGTGAAATGCTCTGAGGTAAAAAATAAATATCTAATGGTCAGTAGAGTTATAGGACCTATGGCGTTTTGTTTTGTTTTTTTTCTAAGCATAATTTACAAGTCAGGAAGTTATCACTATCCGAATTACTTTGGAAGTGTGCTGGTTAAACTCTCTGCCTCCGGGCAGAGAGGATCCCCTAACGAGACTATGTCGAAGAGCAGGGACTCGTCTCGGGAGACAGCTACACGACCCCGTCTTTTACGCGGTCTTTAGGGAATATTTGACCGACCCTAAGGACTCAGGTACCCCTGGGTCTTTTGCTACATCCGATCGCGCGGGGAGGTTAGTGAATATCTTAAAAGGCCGAAAGTATTGGACACAAAGTTACGATTGAAATCACTCCTCAGTCGTAATTGATCTAACGAGAACAAGCTTGTTAACCAATAGACCACGTCGATATGTCGAAGTTATAGTCAGAATGTAGAGAATGGGTTTAAGAAACAGACAGAAAGAAATAGGGGAGACTTGATCTTCGGCAGGATCTATAAAATCTAAAAGGAGAACAAAAATAATACATAATGAAATGATATTGGAAGGGGGTGGAATGAGTACAGAGGAGAGCACATTGATGACAAACGAAATGGTAATCAAGCGATACGTAAAATCATAGAAGGACCTGTAATACGAAAATGTGAGGTTAGGTCACCATTGCCTAAGATGAAGAGGAAAAAATATCAAGAGCTGATGAGATTGTAATAGAGACGGTGACAGATTAAGAAGATTGATAAGGTTAGCGAAGTGATAATCGAAATATATGACAGCGAAAGACCTCAGTTGATCAATCTTTACGGCACTGGAAAAGAAACTAATAGCAAATGAATACAAAGTGTATCGAATAAATTGGCTTGAGCTATAGAATTAAGCTTAATTTTGAGCACCGTTTGGACGAGATCTGAACCGGTGTGAGGTGGTCTGTTTTGGGTTTCCATTAGAGATGAAAGCATCTATCAAAATGTTTTCTATTTTTTAATGGTTATGGGATAA